TAAGGAACACTTACTTTCTGGGAGTAATTGATTGAAGTTCAGGTTGGTATGCCAGCAAATATTTTTAAGATTTTTACATCATTTATTTGTTGAAGAAGAAGACAGTCTCTCAAAAATCAAATGGCTAACAATATGTGCTGTTACTGTAGAGATGCTCTCAGGTTTAGAGCTGTGCATCCAGAGCAGTTTACAGTAAAGATCAGCATCAGAATATTTTGAGCACAGTAAGGACATTCTATAAATAATGTGAAAGGTTGTGAAAGCAGGATTGCACTTTTTTCTTGTAGACAGGGATAAAAAGCTGCATAGCCTCCCTGTAATCAAGGAGGAAACAGCGACCTGCTGAGCCACAAGTCTATGGGACCTGATGAGATCCACCCAAGGGTGATGAGGGAGCTGGCAGAAGAGCTCGCCAAGCCGCTCTCCATCATTTACCAACAGTTCTGGCTGTCTGGGGAGGTCCCAGATGATTGGAAGTTGGTGAATGTCACATCAATCCACAAAAAGGGCTGGTGTCCATTTGACACAAGTAACTGCTACAGTCTGCACCGTGCGCAGAAATGTCAACAATACAGCAGAAATTAGTAGTTGTTCTCATATTTATTTATTGTTCTGTATAAGTGATTTGGAACACTAGGCGTATCTCTGAATTTCTCAGTGAATTTGTGGGTTTTTTACAGCTCAGCATTTGACTGCATGATTGCTCCTCCCTTTCTAGGAGTTATTTTCTGCAAGGAATGGAGCCTATTAACTTATTCCATGGTATCGGGACATCTGATGGTTTGTAAATCTGTCAGGTAGATTTGCTAACAAGTTTCTTATTCCTTGAAGATTAAAAAAAAAACCCAAAACCACAAAAAAAACAACACCCCCCACCCCCCCACAACATCCTAAGCCAATGAAAACTGCAGCAAAAAGAAAAAAATTAAGGAAAATAACTATTATCAACCGAAGAAAAATCCAGAAGAATGAAAGAAGCACAGGCTTTTCTGCATGGAGGTTGTTTTTATTTCAGTTTCTCCTTGCTCTTTAACAGAACCTTTTTGACATCCCTCATCTTATTTATTTGGGAATAGGGTGCTTTAGGACTGAAGAGGAATGCACGGTATGTCCACAGGCCGTAACAAAAGCATTGGACTTTTAGTTTGCTTTGTCTGTAGAGCTATGGGCAATCAGCTTTCACTAGCTATGTAGTTGTAAGATGCTCTGTGTCTCCATCAGCCTTAGTAGGGACTGCAAGTAAGTAGGTTGCCTTTTTGGCTTTCTCAAATTTGCTTTCTATGTGCCTTCTCAGCTATAAAATCACAAGTAAATATTAGTTGGTTTTCCTCTGAGCTAAAGTATTACCTCTGTCAGATTATTTAAATGTGTTACCTTCTGTGTGGACCTGTTTTAAGTGTATCTTAGAATCTAATAGTTAAAGCTAAACTGAAAGAAGGCTGCTTAAAAGTACTTGGGAAAAAATTCAAAGTCTGTCAGTCTAAAGGATTCTGGCAGTACGGGCCTCTTCTGGTTGTCCTCTTGGGGCTTTCCGGATGCCTGGTTTGCATAAGGGCAGTTGTAAGGTATGAAATGAAAGGTGCAGATATTCTAATATTCCTGCCTCTGAGATGATGAATTAAGCAATAATTCAGGCAATGCATGGCTAAAAGAAAGGGTGTAAGAACAGGATAAACTTTGGTCAATAAAGAATAATTAATCCTTCAAGTCCTTGTGTGGTCAGATTACAGGGAAGTGAGCAAGTAAGTAGGCAGCAAACATCAAATTAGGTGATGGATGAGTCTAGCAAGAGGCTAAAATTAATTGTTCACAAGCATCTTTGTTCTGTGGGGGTCCCGTGGGTGGGCAGGTGGTGGCTTGGACAGCTCCCTCTGGGTCCTAGTTTCCTTTCCTTCAGTGGCAGGAGTTGGAGCTTCTCAGTCCCAACTGTGTCCTCCTGCCTCTTCAGGAGCCATCGGAGAAGAAAAGCAGAGGCACGGAGTGGGACGGCAAGGCAGGAGTGGGCAAGAAGAGCAGTGGCTGTGCACATCTTCAGACTGCATCTGTCTTTGGCTGTACCATTTTACCATCCTGCCCTCAAAACAGAGCACTGCTGACTTAGTGGAAGTGGATTTACCTGATGGGGCTGCAGTGTGCTTATTGCACCCCCCTAACACATACAACCAGGCCACTGAGCAGGATGGAGGGCACTTGGCTCTACAGCATCTGCATTTTGTTCACAACTTCATTCAGTTGTTGAGCTGCAAGTGAAGGTCCATCATAATGAGCTGTAGTGGAGATGTACAATCAGTCATGAATTCTAATCCTGGCTTTTTTTAAGTCCACATCACATTTCATAAACTTAAAACATAAATCATTTCATAACTTAAACACCCAACCTGTTGTGATATGAATTCAAGTGCACAGTCTCTATATACGGGGGCTATGTATGAAAAAAATAAAAAGGGAAAAGTCTTTATTAATAAACCTGTTTGTATAAATGTTTGCCCACAAACTGGGGATTTACCTGTCTTATAAATTGTGTATGTTTTAAATGCTAGGCTGACTTCTGCATTACTGAGAATGTTCATCAGGGTCCAAGGAGTTTCCTTGTTCCACTGCTTACGTGGCTTATTTTCACTGTAGTTTGTAACACCACCACCTGGATAGAAAATATTCATAAATACTACTTAGATAAAATGGCATTAGCAGTGTGGAATACATTCAAGGTAACATTCAAGAGAGAAATACAGGACGAGTCTAGGTATTTCCATCTGTAGCACCACTGACCTCTCAGAAAACTAAGGTTGACACTGTCTGCATTAAAAGTTACAGAAAGGTCACAGTGGAACTTTTTACTGCCAGGAGAGCCAGCAGAAACAGGCTGAGGGGTGTGAGGAGTCAGAGTCTCTGCTATCTTATGTGGTGGCTCTGTGAATCTCACAAAATGGAGCCTGAGGCCATTTTTGTGCCTTTTAATAGCAGAACACCTAAATATACACATTTTTCTGTCCTTTTCCCTTGTGCATATAATTATCATGCAACATTCCTACCACAGCTGGGGAATTTTCTGACTACTCATATTTTGACTATTTATTTCCACAGCATTTATTCAGAGTTCCTTACAGTACGTATCTATAATCACATTAAATAATTATAACAATTGCATAGTGAGGGGCATTTTAAAATTGAAACATTTTTCAGAAGAAATCTCACATTAAGTGTTTTAATTAAAAGATGCTGATGTGGAAGAAAAAAATCTCTGCCTCACATCTGAGGTACATCATTGATAGTCATTGTCATTGGCCTTATCTTTATGCTAATGACAACAGAACTACAGACATTTTATGCCCTGAAAACTAAACCACTGACACCATGAAGCCAGTTGCAACTGCACAGTATCTATTCCTGCACTGCATTTCACACTGCATGCCCTTTTTTGACAGACAATCTCAGTTTTTGAAGCTAAGCACACATGCAGTTACTTCATACTTGTGGTTTTATTTTTTTTTTTACATTTAAGAACAGAAGCAATATAAGGATAAATTATTTATATTCCCAGGGAAAACAAGATGCACCCAAATATTAAACTTCTCAGATTGACAGGCCTATGAAAAGGAAAAAAAAAAAATAAGCCCCGTGGCAACACATTTTTGAAAATATACCGAGTACAGCTGAGTCAGGCTGTGTTGTAATGTGCCCATAGGTGACATCTTGGCTACCTGTGACTTAATTCTCCTCACCTGAAATCTCACGTGGGCCCTAAAACCTGGTGAGAATTATGTTCAGACTACACTGTTTCCACAACAGCCTGTTCTAAATGTTCCCCTGAAGAAATGAAAACGCATACATTTTTGCAGAATCCAAAACCTTAGAAAAACAAGAGAGGGTTTTTTTGTTTGCGTTTTCTGTTTTGACGGGGTTATAAGGAAATTCACATTGGAACGAAACTAAATATGGGAAAAATCAAAAAGTTAGAGTGGCGTAAAATGCTCAGGAAAACCACAATTTGAAACAGATGACAGCTGATCTAGTAGGCTGATCTATGGTTTAGCATACTAATAATTTTTCATAAGAACTTTTCTATCATACAGAACATTCTAAATTACTAAAATACAAATACTATATTTATATTTGAATACTTACCCTATTTTCTTTCCTATTATTGGAGCTTCCACCAGCCATGACACTACCTGATACATTAGGTAACAGATTGAAGAGTTAACACCTTTAGCAAACATTTGTAGTAAAGTGGCATTCCAGAGGAATGACAGCAGTGCTACTGAACCAATCAATAAAAAATTATGTAATAGCTTCTTCACACTTCTGTCAACAGAACTCATTCTCAACAGGGAGTCCCTCTACTGTTCAGTTCTAAATGTGTACAAATTTTGGTGTAGCTTAATTTATGTAGAAGAAAAAAAATCCAACGTTCTCTAAAAATTAAATAGTGAACATAACTTGCTTCACCATATTTTGGGAAAGAAAGAACTGTCATGTTTAAAATACATGCAACATTACAGCAAACTGTAAGTTTTGCTTGTTTCAAAACTGAATTATTTCTAGCACAAGTCTTATGACTAACTATATATATATTGCAGCTTTGCACTCTACTTACATTGGAATATAATTTACACCCATCAAGCATTTCCTGCATAGCTTCAATAACATTATATTTTGAAATAATTGAAATCAGATTTGAACATATAATACTAATGTTTTATAGCTGTTTTTTAAGCTCTCATATCACCTAGTCATTTTGTCATTCCCTACATCAACAAAAAGACTTACCCTTTTGTCTTGCTGCACTGCCTTCATGTTTCTTGGTTTCCTTTAATACCAGCTCAAACTCTTTTATAATCTGGAATGCGTATGAAGAGATGCAGGCACTGTACCATTTTAAACTTCCTATGTTACATTATTTGTTAAAAACAGTCACTATACAAAAGTGCTGCTACAGCTGACAATACCTAATTTCAAGCTGCATCAGGTCAATATTCAACTTTAATTTTCAAAACAAACTCTTTTAAAAACTCAGTTTTCTGAGAAGTCTGCAACTGTATTTATGGCTTTCAGAGTAGGACCTACACAACACATTTCATAGTTATACACTAATTAAACTACAAAGGAAAATGGAACCATACATCAGGCTTCCCACAGTTCCAATAGGAGGACAGTGCTTCCACAGTGACTTCTTTGATGTGAAGAATAAGCAAAGGTATATCACTGATGTGAGGTACAAAACTGCTTATTGCTTTCTACCTTTCACTACATTTGCACACAATACATTCTCATTAACAAAGATTTTGAGTGTCTTTGCCCCCATCTCCTGTGATCATCTTGATCCTGTAAAATGAAATGCTCATTGCACCATCCCAGCAGGTATCTGGAACCTGCCTGGCTACTGCTGGACTCCTTAATAAGCCCCAGATCACTGACACTGAGGGAAGTTAACCAATTTCTAACTTTTTGAAAGTTTTCTAATAATTTTGAAAATTTAGTCTTCTACAGAAGGTAGGTCCAAAGAACTGCTGAAAAACAGAGGGCACATAGTGGAGGAGGTGTGGGAAGGGTGGAGCAATACTTCCCTCTTTTGGAAGCAGCAGCAAACACGTCAGTCCAATCTACAGTACAGCTAACTGCTAATTAAGTTTTAAGGAATTCCAAAACTTTTCTGATAGCACTAAAGGTGTACTTAAGAGTGCACAGCTCATACCCAATACACCCTAGAGACCATATATCACTGCAGACATAGAGAAGGATAAGAAATTTAGAGCCAAAAATTACAATTTAATATCCTGCTTTGAAAAAGTGAGATTCAAACTGTGTAGATAACTGAACTGAGTAAACTCAAAATAAATGTAAGTAACTATAAAAGACAATACAATTATGCATTTAGCCTCTCCAGTGGAAATGTTTTTGCTTACTTTATCCTACCCTGATGAAAAAAAAAAAAGATGACTGTCATACAGTTGCAGTTGTTTTTTATTCCTAGGATGTCTCTTAAACAATTTGCTGCAACAATAGTTATCCTTCCACACTTAGAAGCCTTTGTATTCCATAGACCCTGACATCACATGGCAGCCACACAATCCTAATTCTGAGAGCAGGAATTCTGGTCCTGCCAATAAGAACTCTCCTACTGAGAAAAAAACACATCGTTTTCCATCAAAACTGAGTACTGCCACCTGCACAAGAAGTGACCGATACCTTTCTTGCAAGAGGAGCAGAAAAAACCTGAAGTTCTAGAAGGTTTCTTCTCTCCTCTGGAAAACCAATTGCACAACTAAGGTCACAGAACAGATCTAGGGGAGGGAATATAATATGGCTTAGTATTTTGGAGTCTGGGAAGAAGCTGTAAAAACAGTACTATCGAGATGCTCTCAGAAGTTCTTGCATTAGGACAAGAATAAATCTAAGTAATCCATTTTGTGCCATTATCTCTACATTATGACCAGCGTGAAGAGCTTTAAAAATATGTTAAAAAAAAAAAAACAGCAAAAGATGTAAACACATACCTATGTATGTGCACAGACAGGTTCATATTTGTGTGTATATTTCTACGTATATATTTACTCTCCCAAACAAACAGCTGTCTGCACAAGTTTTCAAATTTCTAAGACTAAAGATATTGTGCTCTCAGTTACCTAAGTAAAGAGGAATTTCTGCACTTTCATCTTAAAAAAAAAATGTAATTGCCTCTTTCTAAAAATACTTCAGCTCAGTATCCTCTCTAAACCAAATACAGATAAGCCACAAAGATAGATTGAGACAGCAATTAAAAAACCCTACATCAGTCAGGCATTATATGTGACCAGTGAAAACACAAGTACCTTCTGCTGTTGTATGGCATGCTTTCCCATATTTCTGGAGGTACGTAATAAGGAGTTCCCACATATGTGCAAGCATATGACATGGAGCTACTGAAACAACAAAGAAGAAATACCAGGTGCAAAGCCATGATTTAAGAACTCTGTACTATTTGTGAATGGTAAAATAAAACTTGACACCACTGAGATCAGTGGAGATGTCCACATACTGTGCAAGAAGGCGTGCAGATCCAAAGTCTCCCAGTTTCACTTTCCCATTTTGAGTGAGGAAGATGTTCTGCATTTCAGTATGTT